ATTTTAAATACGTTAAAATGTTAAAGATTATTTTTAATTTACGGAAACATTATTGCTTAAAATTTTGTCTATTATCACGCTGAGTTTGAAATATGATAAAGTTTTGAATCCAAATATTTATAGACAAAACCGGATGAAATTACACATTTTTCTGTCAATAAATATGTGATAAAATATATCTTAAAACATTTTATTATAAAGAACTAATATTGTCAATATAGTCCTTCGTTAGTTCCCTTCGGAAGTTCTAATTCATTTTGTGTCTAAAATATGAAAAATGTGCTAAACCTATTGTATGAAAGTAACAAAACTACTGTCCATGGAAGAACTAATTCATAATCTTAAGGGCGTAAAATTTTTAAAAATTTGCTAGCAAGTTATTTTATCACATTAATCAAGTACAAAACACATACTATTATTGAAGTCATCCTAATTATATTTGATAGACAAATAGACCAAAAATAAAAAATAACCCTCTATCGCAGAATCAATATTGGTTTCCTAATTTGGTTTTGATACTAATCTCTAATCTAATACTCTAATCTACCTAATCTACCTAATCTAATACAGCAATTTATATTGTTGTTTATAGAATATCGATAGAGCTCTCTGATTTCAGGTAATAAAACTGAGTAGCTCCATAACGCGTAATTAATTTTACTTCTTCAAAAAGAGATGTCAACAACGGTTTGCAAATCTAGTACTGGTAAACTGTATCACAGGTGTCAATAAATATGTGAATTTTCTCTTTGTACTCATTAAGTTTTGGCTAAATTTATATATAATGTAACATTTAACATGGTCATGGAAAAAAAAAGTAAAGAGGTTACATTTACCTGTTCAATAAAATTACGTTAATGGCTTATTCCATTGTGATATGATTCAAAACAAAATTCTCATTCATGAAGTGGTGGGATTTAGAAGATTTTATTCATTATTTTTAATTGCACTGCTAAAAAGAATTCGTGAGGAGAGCATTGTTTTTTTATTGATTGCTACGTCACAACCATTCTTACATCTTTGATCGTAAATCTCTAATGCTCACAGCCATCATCTCATTATTAATGATTTAAAGAAAAGCTTCTTAGAAGATGTTTTCTGGAGCTGGAATAGCAGCCGATAGAATGAAGTCAAATATCGGAATAATAACCCTTTTTTTTTCTTAATACAAAGTCGATATGGACATTATTGATACAAACTCTCTGTGTATTACTCGTCACGGTTTTCCTTCTCATTCAAAAATATTTGACTGGAGATGGTAGTGCAATTTGTTTCGATAAATTCTATTTACTTATAACAGAACATTTCCGTTTCTTTTTCGTGGATCTTGGCGTTGATTTAAGAAGGTAAAAAAGGGGGAAGTAAAAAAAAAAAAAAAAAAGAACTGTCCGATATCAGACCAGACTGCGGATGAGAACAAAGAAGTTGAGAATAAGTCTGAAAAAATAAAAGAAACAGAAAATTGGATACCTTCTCATGGTGTTTTTCTATAATTCTTTTTTATTCAAACCAAAAAATGCTGTCTTGCCTTCAAATTCATCGCTTAACATCATCAAATGGAAAGGAGTTGACTTACTTCTTTTATGTTACTGTTCCTGTATCGAATTCCAATAATCTGCGAAGACTAAAGAAATGTTAACGTTATCCGTTACAGTTTTCAGAGAGTGCAGAGTGACTTAGTCATTCTGAAAGCCTAATAAAATGTTCTTTCCTTTTGAAATTCTTTTTCTTTTTTTCAGGCTGAAACAAGCTTCCTTCTGAGATTTTTTCTCCATTATTTTTCATTACTGGAGACATTTTGATATTATTCTTGTAATTTCAGCAAATGCACCTTTAGTTTAATAAGGGTAAAATGCGATTCTGATGAGAATAATTGAAGCTACTCCATAGCTATTGTCACGTTTAATTTTAAGTGTATTAGATTTCATGTTTTTACGTTATGATTATTATTTAATTTTAATATTAAAGAAAACGTTTTGAGTAAAACTAAAAACTTTGCATAGTCACAGTTTAATTGTATTGTGATTTTAGGTTATGCGATTTTAAAATAGATCTGCTGTCCTGATCTAGGTTTTGAAATAGTTTGAAATACTTAGACCAAAAAAGAGCATTAAATGCAAAATTTTTCAGCTTAATGAAATTATTAATTGGTTTATATTTAGTTACTCATCCAGCTACCTCCTTCCAACCTATATATATATAGGTAAGGGAGGTAATGTTTTTGGACCCAAAATATCCGATATTGAATTTTCCACAACACGCTTTTACTATTCTTACGGTGATGTCTGTCTGTCTGTGCGTATATGTGTGACAATGTTATTGTGCATGGTAATTTTGTATGAAACTTTCAAAAATGCATATTTCCCATATTTAAGATTTCTGCGTTCATATAAAGAGTTCATTAGATTTTGGGTAAAACTGGACAAACGGAACTGGTACCTTACTTGAATAACAGTTTTACAACATTCAACCTAACATATTATTGTATATACAACCAAAAATATTATTGCATATACAGTTGCAATTTTATTGTTGGTATTGCATTATATTGTTGTGTATTGCTTTACTGATACTTAAATTCCCGCGGATTTATGTGCAGATTAAAATGAATTTAGATTTGATGATACTGTTTAAATAAAAAAAAAGAAGAAAATTTAATCATGGTATTATTTTTAATGTGTTTATTTTAAAAATATTATAAACACTTAATTTTCTTTAATTTAAAAACCAATTAAATTATACGTTATTCCGCCATAAACATTAAATATTATGTTGCATTTAGTTACACATTTTCGGCTGCCCAATAAAACACAATTTTATTAAAGAAAATAAAGGAGAAAACATTTAATTATGTTAGCATAAATTAAAAAAACAGTTTTTCACATATGAAAAATCAAAGGATAATGAAGTTATAAATATTCCTCCCCGTATAAAATGGCAGGGCCGAGCAGTAAAAAATGTAGATACTTTAAAATATCTAGGATTCCCACTTGATAGAAAACTCACCTGGTTGCCATACTTAATGATGATACGAGAACAAAAAATACCTACAAATATATGGAACCTAAAAGGAAACCTTTTGAAGGAACTCTATTTGCGGGGCATACGGCTCCCCCACCTGGATGGCTGACACAGTAAGGGTTCGTCAGAAGCTACTCCAAATTCAACGCATCACCCTTCTCAAGAACAATAAATGTTTTACTACCACATCCACAGCAGCTCTTCAAATCCTAGCTGGGGATCTCCCAGTAGATCTCAAAGCAGTAACTGAATGTGGCATTTGCAAGTTAGTTCACTTTAAGGACTCCTTTCAGCTGGATGACTCTTCGTTCATAGAACAGTGTTCCTAAGTACCACAATGCCACTCTACTTCCGTCCACCCAGCTCTCACAAAAGATCTAAAATGACTTGAACATATACCAAAAGGACAGGACTTAGAAATCTTTTCTGATGGTTCCAAAGTTTCAGAGCAAGTAGATGCAGCCTATGTCGCGTTCCACAGCAATATAAAAATTCACTCAGCACGGTTCAGACTTAGCGACCACGCCTCGGATTTCCAGGCCGAGTCCTTCGTTCTAAAAAAGACAGCTCTCTGGTCAGACAACACCAATTTTCCATCCCTCAGCTTCTACACGGACAGCATGAGTGTCCTGCAGTCCCTGAACAAGAACAGCATGCACGCCTTCTACATTTCCTTGTTAAAAGAAGTGCTTATTACCCTATCTTCTTCCAGACAAGTATCCCTATGCCGGGCACGTAGTCATCAAGGCACCCAAGGTAATGAAAATGCCGACTGTTTAGCTAAAGAAACCATAAGTCACCCTTCCATCGACTTAGAGATTCCACTCTCCAAACTGTCACTGATAAACAAAAGATCTTCTGCGCCTTTATATCCATTTGGCAAGCTCGCTGGGACTCAGACACTGGTCGACACACCTACTTCATCCTTCTCTGTCGTCTTCACCAACAGGTTCAAAACAGACTTCTATCTACATCAAGCTTTCACAAATCATGGAAGATTTCACAGCCTCCCTTCCTTAGAACCAGGAATCACATAGCCTAATAGACATTCTTCAGGATAACTACAGACAGCTGTCAAAAACATCATGTAGAGTACGCCTATTCTAAGAGAAATATAATCATAACAGATAACCATGTCTAGGCACCTGACAAAATGTAAAGGTAGCAAGCCTCCATTCATGTATGTATGTAAATATCTCTAAACTTACTAACCCATTTTGCTAATTTTGTACTAACATACCAAAAGCATTGTAAGTTGGAGCACCCAACAAAAGTAATACACTAATGTTAAGTCTGTTTAATTAATAATAAGGTTCAAAAGATAAAAAAAACCAAAAACGATTGCTGGTGCAACGATCAGGATGACATAACTAACCTATAGTACTCATTGAGAGGTGAAGCAGGCGAAATAATAATATGAAGAATTAATAACATATTATCTACCAGGCCTTTCTATTTATTATAATAACAAATTAGATTTCATTTACGAACGATGAACCCGAAGTGACACTTTACTTAAAGCTATTAAAACGAGTATTAAATACGTTGCTATTAAAACCGGAATTTTCGGAAGGGTATGTATTTGCCACATCACACATTATTATTATTATTATTATTATTATTTAGTTTCTTGTTCCGAGAATTTGCCTATATTAAAAAATATATTAAGCCTGAGTTTTTAAATTTAAAGAAAGCTCTAAAACGATGTTTAAGGAAGGCTCATGATGTTGGACATTATAATGCTTTTCTTCGTACGTTAAATATATATTCTGGCAGACAAAAATTAAGGCCAGAAGTTCATCAACCTCTGCCCTCAATTCACCTATATGTTTTTTATTTACATAACTTGATGTAAAACTATGTTTAAAATTAAGATTGTAGTTCCAGCATAAACAACATTCTAAGAGTTTTATCCTTACATAAAAAAAATTGCTGCGCATCACAAAATCTTAATTTCCTTTTTTTTTTTTTTCAGATCTCAAAGAATGGATTCGTTATCAAGGAATATACATGGATACGCTGGACTTGGCAGCAGATGAGGTCTACAATCGATTACCCCATACATCTCACAATTCTGATTTTGAGCCGTTGTTCCTGAATCTTCCCACTGTTCCTTTACTATCTGGTCTAACGTGCTCAGTGCAACAAAAATTGCAGAAATTTGCTCGTCTCACAAGCGTTCAGAGATCAAAAGTGAAACGTGAGCAACTTTGTGACTCTTCCCTACCTAAAATAAGTACTCATAATGTGCCCTTTGGCAAAGGAATCACAGTATCAAATGTAAATGGAAGAGCTGTAGTCAGAGCTTCCGCTCGAGCTGAAATTATTCGCAAAGATGTATTTTCTGCTGTTTTCAATAACTGTCACATTCTTGATCTTCACCTGACCTTCCATGGCCAGGATGTATTTTATCTGGTCAAGGACAGTACATGGCGAGTCGGTGATGATCTTAATCAACTTCAGAGACTAGGCAATTCTGCTGTGAATACAACTGTCCATGAAAGTAAACAAGAAGATAGTGATGGCCAGAATTCTGTGCCTGGGCAGCAACATCAAGTGGATGTTAGAATACACTCTCATCACGCCATTCTGAATATCCGGTACGGTACAACTCCAGAGCGTGAGCGTCAGAGATTGTTGAGGCATGCTAAGCGTCAAGCAGTATCCCAGAGATGGTCTCAAGAGAGAGATATTATTTCATCCAACCAAAGAGGGCCTCTAAAGTGGTCAGAAAGGGCAAAGGAACAGATTTTAAGCACTGGGTACGCAAATGGATACAGGGGAGAATATTTTCATGATGTCAATCTCTATCCTGAGCTCGCCGATGACCCTTCCAATATTGTATTTCATAGAATTACGGACAGAGAAAGTAAAAGGTGATTTTGAATAAATTATCAGGTTAACAGATATTTGCCTAAGTGCTAAACGAGTAAGTAAAAACTGTTTCTGCATCGAGGTAAAAAAATGGTAGAAGGAGACCTCTTTCTGCGTAGGGTGATCAAGAAAGTTATGGTGCCAAGTAACTGGAAGAAGACAAGCGTTTTCTAATGCCTAACTCAGGACATAGGATTGAGCAACAAGGAATGATTTGTTTGGTATTCTTCGTAAACCTATTTCCTTTTTATAACATAATTTCATGAGAAGGGCGTGATAGAATACGAAGTTAAAATAGATTAATTAACTAATCTGCCGCAGTTTCCAAGGAGATTTCTACTGCGTATAGTGCTTTACAAGTGGTCTGAGCTCTGACACGTGTTGTGTGCGTGAAAAATATTTTAATAGGCATACTGCTTATGAATCCTACTTCAGTGTAAAATATATATATGAAGAGTGTGTATAAATATTGACTAATATACTTTTCTTTCAGATGTACAATTCCTAGTGTTTCATGGAATTTATATGCTATGGTAAATGACAATGAAATATAAAAAAAAATTATCTTCCTTCAATTGTATAAGTTTTCCTTCAAGGAGTAACTTTCTTTGCTATGTGCTTATATGTATATATATGTTTTTTCATTGATATAAATTGTGTTTTACTTCTTAACCAGTATTCTTGGAAAAGAAAATCTAAAATATGAATGTGATAAATAATTGACAATTCATATGAATTCGTTTCCTACATCGTAATTTATTATAATGTATCCATTATAATATAAATGTTCTTGAACATTTGAATATGAGGCATGGTCTTGAATATAAGAATTATGACTAAACACATATCTTGACTAAACGTTAATTATTTTATTAGATTTTCTGGAATTTTACATATCGTGAAACTTTAAATTTTTATTTGAATTATCATATCATTGGGTAATTAAGAAATCATAACTCAGGTGTTTGAGCAAATTTGAGATAACCTTAACTGAACTATTTATATCATTTTAAAATTAAAAGAATATAAGAGTAAATACACTAAATTAGAAATTCCATTTGGTGCAGATGTCCCCTGTTTCTTTACAATCTGCAACACAATTAATATTTAATAACCATTAAAGCTTTTATACAAGTGCTCTTTTAGTTAAAAAAGAAGAGGAATGGTATTTGAAGTCGTTGTCGATATGTCATATCAATTTGTCTTATTCATATGAAATATCTAGAAATCGTAGAAACAGATTTGCCATATCACATTTTTCATTTCTCATACCTAAAGCACTAAATGAATTACCGATCTAAATAATATTATGGTTACAAGAAACTACGGATTTTCGTTTCTTCATATCATCAACCAGAAAGCTACTGCTATTAAAGAAAACAAAATTCGTTTACCACTGTATCATAGGATCTACCAAACCACTAATTTTGAGGAATTTGAGTAACTGGACATTCAGATACATTTATTGAACATATTTTAGAACATATTATAGGCTGTCTTAAGAAATTTAAAATATACATATCGGTTTCAAATGCAAGTCAATTTTCATAATTTAATAAGTTGCATTAACTTGTACCATTTTAATGTCGCGATGTAAATACACTTTCTGTTAAACGTTTGTACAAATGTTTGGTTCCCTCCTTTAATTGGTACTGAAACATTTTTTTAACAACAACATAATTTCAGATAAAGGAGGAAATCTTTAATATCCACATTTTAGTACTGTGTTGCGTGTTAAAAGATTTAGTTTGGTACATGATGAAAATTCTGTATAATTAAAATTCAAGAAAAACGTATCATAAGAATGAAATAAAAAGGGCTCCAAAGCATAATACGACCTTCCATAATCCCGAAGGTCAGTATTTTAATTACTTTCACGAATGATTTACTCTTTCAATTACGCAAGTTTAATATCGGAATTCCTTACATTTTTAATGCATATTAACATTAAAAGAAATATGGCTTGAGAAAAGAGTTGCGCCTTGTACCAGCATGACGCATGCATTTGTGTTTTTAATTAATGTGGCAGTTCTTTTTTTTATGATTCACTATATTAATAACGATTTGCTTTGGAGAAACTCAAGAAGTGAAGATTCTGTGCTTTGGAAAACTGGCGTAATGTACCGGTGAGTGTACTGGAGTAACTCTCATCGGTTCATCTCTTGCATGTCAATCAGTTCAATCAGCGTTGAACTATCGAGGGGATATGCCTTAGTTTCTGAATGATAAAGTTTGCTTGCATGCCTTCGGTGCAATCATTCTTCTAAGAATCTAAAACATATATATGTAGCTTAAATTATTTTATATCATGTCACTACAGTTAAACAATTAATTTTGGAAATATTTCCAAATGCAAATGCAAATTAAATTGAGTCTCCAAATCTACTTCTTAAAATTCAATGTAACGTGCATTAAATGTACTATGACGTAATACTCTTGACCCAAAATATGTTCCAGTAAATGTCCCCAAATAAAATCTACATATGCCGGTAGTGTAGTTCTGTGCCGGCGGTGTATTTTGGCCGAAGACAAACAAAACATTTCCTATGAACATATCTCAAGGAAGAGTATAATTTACGAACCACGAGATGTTGAAAATCAATGACACGTTCATGCGAAGATTAGCTGTCTGCTCAGCGTGGAGTATTCAATGCCTTCAACATGCTACCACAACTTAAGATGAGGATGTGGATGTTGATCATCAGTATCTCGTAAGCGGTGAAATATGAGCTCTCAGCTATCAATTTATGGGATAAATTTGGTTCAATTTTGGCCGCAGTGTAGGCTTCTGATGTTTAGCGACTTCATTTTGAGACGCTTGATGTATAAACATATCAAGAGTTTAAGTCACAAATTAAGATAATATATGTCGCGAATGTCGTAAGTATTGTTAGAGGAAAAATAAATTTAACAACTTTTTTGTGTAGAATAATTCAAAGGCAACTGAAATTAATGTTATATCAACTCTGTTACAAAGTTATGATTCTTGCTACTTCATTAGATTTCAGCATTATTGCCATCGATATTTCATGTCTAGTTTAAATGCGTGCTATCAGTTCTGGCAATTACTTCAACAATATTTCCTTTCATGTTGCTTTGCTATACATACTTTTTGATTTCGTGGAGGAAACATGTAAATCAAAAAAATCAAATTCGAGAAGAGCACTGCTTCGATATTGGGTGATTCATTGGCTAATTAACTATGCCACAACTTTTCAGCGTCATATAACGGAAAAAAAGTGGTAATCTGGCAAACAGCATGCAACATTCTAGCTAAATTGGTTGTCCTTGGTAAGTAGAATACTTGAGAGGTGTGTAGCCGCTAGTTGCATACTTCAAAGGCTTTAATAACAAGTCAAAAAGGGTTAAATTACCCTTTTATTCGACTTAAGAATATTTACACTTGGCCCCTCTCGGGCTTACAGGAAGTCTGCACTTGGGCTTAAAATAAGAATTTAATCTAATGCTGACTAAACTAGCCGAAGCTGCACAGAAATAACTAACAGAGTTTGCCCTTATTTAAAGCTCACCGGCGAATACTAGTACGCACGTAACAATTACGGCTGAACATAGTAAGATTTGGCTTAAAGCAATGACGTCAGAACACGCTCTACTAAGAACTTCTAAGCCCATTTGAAGTGACGGACCCCTAAATACTAGTTTTAACACATTTACCTACAAAGCGATCCTGAAAACTCATTCTGGAAGAACATTGCAGGTGGGGAAATAAATATTAAAAAAAAAAAGCTTATTCAAAAACACAAGTAAGTATTAGAAATTAAAATAAATGTCTACAAACTTTTTAAAGAAAATCCGCTCATGTTTATACCACGAAACAAGTAATCCCAAAACAGCATGCGTCCAGCTCAAAAATAAAATTATACAGTATTTTTATGATAAATATTTTGAAAAAATGATCGCTGCAATAAAAGTCTATGAAAACTTCGTGTAGCTTTTAAATTATATTTTCTTTCGAATTCACGTAAAGCCTATTTTATAACGTAAACGTAACAGTTTACAAAATGTAAGAAATGAGTGCAACTGGGTATGAATCAACCTTTAAAACTTTTGTCTCTTTCTGAGAGCATTATCGCGTAGGTTTAAGATAAGAATCTTCAGCTTCATACGTAATCCTCCTGGAACCTTCTTGAAGAATAATAAGCCATTTGAAGTGATTGTAGATAAGATAACATTTTCCGCTATTCAGCAAAAGCTGGGAATAACAGAATGGAAGCTTATTTTCGAATTCTTTTTTTTTTTTTTTTCAAACATATTACCTAAGCTGTTAACTAAATGTTAAACCCCCTATGGCTTGCAAATCAACGATTCGAACGAGTGAGATAACTTTAAAAGTAAATGATAAAGCTTAACTGCTTCTGCAATGTTTATTTATTTTAAAAGTGTAAATTAATTATAACAGCTTAGGCATCGAAATTTTACTGTCTTTAAATTGGACTTAATAACTCTTTATTTTGTTTTGGATAAATTGAAACAATGCAACTAAAAATTTTATTTAATGAAAAATGACGAATATGGGGGAAATATTTCACACTTGTTTATGTAAATATGCACCAGAAAATTTTGTTTCTTATCTTGGAATATTCCTTACTCTACATTTTTAACATAGTAAAAACTTTTTAGAATAATTTCCATTCTTTTCATTCAATAATTTTATGTTTATATATGGAACTTTTCAAAATTTTTATTTTTGCAAAATGGAATCAGTTATTAAAACAATATTATTTGAAACAATGCACTTAAGATTTAATTAAAACGATGGCAGTTCTAAATTCTCAGAAGATTGATTGCACTAGATTACAGAATTTTGTATATATATGTATGTGAAGAAGATATGTAGTTATATGAATTTAAAATATTTAAAAACAAAAAGAGTTTCCTCAAAGTCATCTGCTGTATTCACTTGTGAATGATTCAAGCTGTGAATCAACACTCTGTTATTTATTTGATGACCGTGTTTTCTTTTTTTGCTGATATAATATGTTTAAGTTTTAAAATATTTATTAATGCATTTATGTAATAAAATATTTTATATCACATGTATTTATTTTCAATCTTGTTGTGAAACAAACAGATTAAAATTTGCTGTTCAAAAAAATATTCATCATTAAATCCGGCGAAGGAAATATAATTAAAAATATTACAAAACTATATTCCATTTACAGTTTTGTTTGAAAGTAAAGATTTCAAAAAGGCTTCAATATATTTAATAATTTGAATGCTAATAAACATAACAAAAGCAATTTTTAATATTTTCAATTAGAATTTTCCATTAATCTGCATTAGAATTATGTAGTTATGTTAATTCCATTCAGAATATCGGAATTATCTTTTGCTTTTTTATGCTAATTTTGATACAAACAATTTTAATATTTTGACAATAATTTAAAAAATTGAATATTAAAAGAATGTTTAAAAACTAAATATATATTTTGTCATTTTTCTCAATGACCAAACCAAAAATGCTTGCGAAGGTAGAAATGGCAAATATTTCTACATTATGTATTAAGTCGTTAACTTTATCGATTAAATTTCCATTCAAACGGTGCATGTACATACATGAAATATGTTCTTAGATTTTAATTTTAATACTAAAAATGTATTTTAGTCTTAAATTGCAAATAAATAATTATATTATTAATTATATATTACGCATTCTGAACAACCACAAATTTTGTTTGCATATATTATTAATTGTTTTGCCTTTTTTTACTTTATTTAGTAATGTACACGAGCAGAAAAAATACACAGTAATGTAATTGTATATGTAATGTGTGTAAATACAGTATATGTAATGTTAAGAACTTAATATTAAATTATTATCAAATGCATGTAACTGATACTCGATAAAATCAATTTCAGCAAAACTAGTTCCAACATTTATTGTACTGCTAATTTACTTTTTTTCTATTATTCAAAAAGTCTTTTCTGGTGAGTTCAGTTTTCACAGCAACATTGATTTAAAGGTATGTTGAGGATGGGAGTTGTTATAAGGTAAAGATTCAACCTTTTGCTGCACCTGGTGCCCTGTCTTGTGCCTATCTCTTAGTATCAGAAATTTCTTAAGAAAAACGTGTTTGATTATCATCTCTCATTGCTCCGAGAGTGGCACTGAACACTGGCTGGGAATGAAAACAGTGAGCATTTAAAGAAATGTTGCATCTATTGCTTTGATTGACTTCAAAACATCCTCTTACCTCTCGGCGGTTTTCTTCCAAGCAATACACCAGGAAACGTTTGCAGACATTCTTGAAAAACCAAGATGTAGCCTTTTTGACTAAATTCAATTACTGATCGAATTTCTTACCTAGAAACAAGTTTCTCTACTTTGATTGTATAAATACTCATGTTAAAAAACCTGTTTCCCTGGTATATAAATCCTATCTTTTTATATCGAACACCTAAAATTTCTTCAGACACTTACGGATAAACGTAACATTTTTAGAATCTACAAGTGCTGTTTTGGATGATATTAAAATTTACTAAGTTTTTAGGGTCTTTTAATTTTTCGTGTGTCTGCTGTTACATTTTCAGAAGAAGTTTTGGATGATATTAAAAGTTTTTAGGGTCTTTTAATTTTTTGTGACTTTACTAAGTTTTGGGGGTCTTTTAATTTTTCGTGTGTCTGCTGTTCCATTTCCAGAAGAATAATATTCTGTGCTATCCAATTGCAATTCTTGTAGAATAGAGGTTATTTAGAAATTACCACAAATATTTTTCTTAATAGAGTTGATGACGTTATCTAATTATAATTTTTTTCCGTTATTTTAAATTGTGTTTGATTAAATACGCATAATTTATTAGTTGCGGGAAGTAAAGCGCAGAATTCAGAAATAAAAAACGAAAGAACTTTCCATTTTGGACAAATAATAATTAGTACTAATAGTAAACATAAAGCTAAGAAAATGCTTCTCAAAAATTAAATAACTTTTAAATTGTATTTTATATCAGAAGCGTCAGATTCCAAATGGGCTTTTCACAAAATTTTCAATGAGTGCCCCTAAACATCTGCTTTCAAAATAAAATGTAATGGTATAAATATTTTGTAGTAATGCATAGACTGCTACTCTCTTTATGTATTTCTTTTTAAATTTTATTCAAAAAATTATATACTCTTTTCTACAATCAATGCCCTATCTACCGGTGTAATGTTACGAACTACGTGAACGGTTTAATTAAAATCACATTTAATCCGAGGGCAGTTTAGAACAAAAACAACAAGAAGAATCCATACTGAAATTTAACAAAAAAAAATATTATTGTCAATGTATTTGAATTTTTAATCAATTTCGTTCAAGCAGAATAAGCTTCTTCATTTATGTAAATTAAGTTAATATTCAAAAGTGATATAAACACACTGCAAATAATGGGGAAAATAAACATTAAATTAGGAATGAAGAAAGTACGTTTGCATGATGTTAATCAACAATATATAAAAAAGAACTTAAAAAATAGCGCTAAATTCACATTTGTATAAAAGAGCCGGTTAGGAATTTTTCCTATTTTTTAAAGTACAATGATTATATAGTCAGGATCGTGTACAATTCAATTACTATTTATAAAGATAACTTTTAGGTGCTGCAAAATCTTTTGATATTCATTGTTCTTAACCATGCATTTTCTTTTTCTTTTTGTGTTTCTCGTAGATGCCATTTGTGCTCAGAAACGAAATCCTCAACAGTAAAGATTTAGCTTTATTAATGAGCAACAGCAGAAGTTATTTTTTTTAATATATATGATAATTTTTGTACTTTTTAAAATTTTTGGGGAAGGGTAGGTAAATTTTTCTTTGAAGTATTAGAATGCGATATCAAAACTGGTAGAGGGAAGGACTGAAATAATTATTTCAATTTCGATTCGCTCATTTCAAAATAATATTTTGTTGCTTCCTAATTTTAGTTGAGAAAATTAGAGTTCCAGAATTCCGCACCATTTTAGATGTTCTGTAGCAGTAGTGTTTGTAGTTTGTGTAGTACATTCATTGATTTAATAGTTAGTGTACGAAAAGTAAAAATATTCATGGACAGGAACATCGTACAAATTAAAACACACTGTAATGCAATGAATTAAGAGGAAATGCAGACAATTGTTTAGAAGCTATAATTAGAAGTCCAAACAACAAAAATCAGCGTGAAATTTTATGAATTTGCTGTACTACCAATCGAAGGTTTTTACTACACAACCTCCTTCCTCAGCTGCAGAAGCAAAAATGACCACTAAAAATTAGAGATGACACTCACGAGGCGAAATTAAATCCAAGAGAGTGGAAAGCCCGAGAAAGAAATCGTTGGCACAAAATGACGAGTACATCACGTGCAATGCTGTAGCCGAAAATAAATAGCTTGTATAGAACCGATTCAATGAAAAGTAACAATAATTATAAGTTCAAATAACAGAAATCAGAGTTAATTTTTGTAAATTTGCAGTACTAGTTTCGAAAGTTTTACTATAGAACTTTCTTCAGTTGCAGGAGTGAAAATGACGGAGTGTTACTTTTGCTTGTTTGTTTAGGAGCTCTTAAACATCTTTTCATCAAAAAAAGTTAATTATTGCAGTAAATGAAAGAATAAATATATTACTATCTGCCAGTTCTTAGTAAGATGGACTAAAAATAATTAGATCAAGAACCTCACATTTTTCTATGAGTTCATCTTGCAAATTAGAAAGAATTTCCAACTTTTAAATAAACTCCGCAACAATCCAGGAGAACTTGTGCATATTTTCCAGGTGCTTAGATTACAGTTGAAATTTTTGCCGTACCTTCTTGAGATAAATTATGCGTTCATCAAAATTTTTCATTTTCCTCTAATTGCTTAAATTTAACAAATATAAAAATTTGACATATTAATAAAACATTAAGCAGTTCTACTTTGATTTTCAGAGGAACAGAAAAGAAGAAAACAAGAGAATTTAAGCCGCAATTAGATTAAGATAGTGGTTTCTCGCTTAGGAAAGAAAATGAAGAAATATTAAGGTCTCATTCTGCAAGGAAAGAATCATACTCTATAAGGTAATTCTACCACTTCCCTAGCGTGCTTTCGTGGTTTAGTGGTTCTGCACGTTGGGCCGGTATTCCAGAGGCCCGTGGTTCGATTCCCGGCGAAGGCGGTTGCATATTTTTCATCCCTCCTGCTTCCAATTAGCCTAATGACTCTACAACTCTTAAATATAGAACTTTTTGTTCAAATGCCGCTTATAAGGAAGTACTTCTAATACAAGAAGTTAAACGATTAAAAAAAAGAATGGCTGATTCAAGAAACCAGTAACAATCTGAATTAGCTGTTTTATCAATATATCAACTAAATTAACTTTCGAGAGTAAATACAGAAGTAAAGATTGAGTAAGAAGTACAGAGAGATTTCAATCACTACAGACAAACTTCAGGATGAAATCTGAAGGATTTTAAGCATTGTTTTATTTTTTAGTTAGCTTCCTGCATCATCGATAACTTTTCAGCAGATCGGCATTATTATCAAAGTTAATGCTTATTCGTTACATTTACGTTGTAATATGATATAGTCTGAGACGAAACAAAAAAGGTATATCTAGCCAGACCGTGGAATTTTTCCCCAAAAATATATATGAATTTTATATTATAGTATCATTTATTAATGGTATTTCTGTCTCACTGCAAAGAAAGGTAAATCTTGCACTTTGTTATCTCCCTTTCGGGTCTCTGACCCAACTTGCTCGTCAAGATCCAGACTATCTTACCCTGGTCCATAAACAAAAGACGAGGCCAGCGTCCACTTGGGGGCAAAGATGTCTTTAATCCTGCCTATAACTTTTGGTGTCCGGTAAATATCTGTTGGCAGTTTACATATTTACGAACATATTTACATATTTACAGACATATTTACGAACATAGTCTATAGGCTTGTTAAAACCAAAATTGTACATTTTGGGGGGTTAAAGAGAGGTAAACTCTCTTTATCTTCAGTAAATATCTTAGAAGAAAAGTAGTTATAATATTATTTAAATAAGAGCAATCTATTATTACATTTGAATGTGTTTTTTGAAAATAAGTTGCAATTATT